AAACGAATCGTGAGAAAAGCAAGCGTGCCTACTGTACCTTGTCAATGCATGAATGTGTGTTTGGTAATGCGTCGTTTTTTTTCTTTTCCTCTTATTCTCTCTTTCTCTCTCTCTCTCTCTCTCTCCTATCTTACTCTCTCTGTATTTGCGCGTTTGTTCAATTATTCTCAATTTCGCTGCTGGTTTGCCGCTCTTTCGAAGCATTAATGGCAATAAAACGATGAAACTTTCTAACAACAACGCATTTCATTAAAATATTATTCTTTTTTTTGCCTTTCACATCTTAATAAATATTTTACATAAACAAATTTTCCCTTTTTATTACAAAAAAAAGCACAAACAAACACAATTGCAATGAGCTACATATGTATTACACCTTAGAGACTTTACATTATTTACGAATTGTAAGGGTTGCGTGCGGGCATATCATCCTTGCTTGCATGGGCAAGTTTTGGGCAAGTTCGTAAACTAGTTTAAACCGTTCTCATGTAAAGCGAAATTCTACGCAACAGATAGGTATCTTTGATTGCAAATAGCTGCAAAGTTGGCTTGAAATACTTGCAGGTTATGTAGCGCAGTGCTGTAGTGTTGTGTTCTTTGTGGTGCATTTACGAAATGATGCCCGCAGCGCTAGCCGCGTTGCGCGCATTATGAGTCATGGGCTGTGATTTCGACATTTTTTTTCTTTTCCTAACGTGTCTTTTCATACTCAAAATAGCTATCCTATACTAGAAAAGATTATTGCATCAATTGGTGGCAACGCGCACAGCTACTAGTAAACAATAAGTCTCGATTCGAAAAATTTTTAATGGAATTCATAGATAGCTGCATAGATGTATGCGTCGTAAGAAGTCCCGTGATTTGCTCGAATGGGGAAATTTCTTTCACCTTTATGTGTTTATTGCAATCGCGATTACGAAAACTCTGTCTAGTATAAGGTGAGGAAACTATTCCGTCTTATAAAGAGAACGTATAGGAAATGCTACCTTTGGCGATTAGAGACCACATTCGGAGCATGACGGAAGTTCACTTTTGTCTTTAGTCACAAATTCTATTTCTTAGTTGCATTTTTCACGTAGTAAAAACAATACAAAAGGTACGTAACCAAATGGGTAGGAAAATGCGATTTTAAACAAATTAAAAAGTGAGTTGAACAAACCAGACCATTAATTACCCTAAGCCACTTGGCTCAATGCAAACAAAAGTTACCTCTTGTTGGCATATAATGAAGTCCTCTTCCCCATGGCAATCATTGTACGATAGAGCGTAGAAAATATAAACCAATGGTGGCCATTTATATACTGAAGACCTAGCGTCATCATAGATCGTAGATCAATTTTCAACGTAAAATATTAGCAATTAAGCCTTGCTGCTGCGTAGAAATATATGTCTTCTAAGTGTGTTTATAGGAGAACGGGATTAAAAAACCCGTCTCAGTCCGTCCAAAATTTTAGGGATATTTTTATTTGACTTAGGAAAGCTCTTATTGGACTTAGGGTTACTTTTATTAGGTTGCCGAGAAGTGCTTTTTTAGGACTTCCACAAACTTTTATTAGAGTTAGGGGTACTTTTATTGGACGTTGATCTAATACGCAATAGTGCAACCCTTCACCATAGTTTGTAACGAAATTTTAAAAATGAGAAAAACGACACTTTGAAATACGTCGATGTACGATATATCGAGACTGTTTGTAAAAATTGTCTGATTCAATCCATTTTCAACAGCAATCACCTATAACTTAAAACACATTAGTGAACTAAAATTTCTCAAAATTTGCGAATGGTAAGTTAAATATAAGAATACATGAGGCCGCACCAGCTAGATACGCATACGGACGCACGTACAGATAGCCATGCAACCATTCAGAAACCGGTTGCGACCAAATTATTCTAGAAATTGCATGCAATGTAGCTTTAATGCAAGTTCTGCAGAACAAAAAAAAAGCATAGGCATCAGGCGGATAGACAGATCGGTGACGATTTGTACAATAAAATATGATTCTCTCTTAAGCCGTTCTGCATCCTAATATACAACTTAGGCGAAAAGTACAAATTTTTCCCTCTTCAGTCCCGCGAAATATTGCTCCATGTGTTAGTATATAAACAAAAAAAAAAATGGTTTAAAAAAACCTTTTCTCATTAAAATCGTTATGTCATGCTAAAGTCCAAGGGAATCGATTCAGAATCTGCAGTGTGGTTTCGACAAGAGGACGCCAGTCCTCTGCCGCTCGTAAAGAAAAGAGAAAACATCAGATTAATTGGTTATATTGATGAAAGAACCCGTAAAATCTTCAAACAGGGGAATTGCCTCCTTCACGCACCAGCAGGATTGTGATTAGGAAGATAGGGAAAAGAGGAAAGTGGTAGCAGTCTTTATGGCCTTTCTTTGCAGTCATGATGAAAAGCAGAAAGTAAAATAACTGCAAGTTAAACACCTTCCACACCTTAAGGGGTTTCAAGCGCTTGAAGTCTAGCGCAAGCCCATTGACATTTGTATAGGATAACAAATTTTTCAAGTGTAAACCATTTAAAGTTGTTTTGAAAAAATTAGTTGCTATGACGTACACTCCAGCTTAACGTATGCACTTAATGGCAAGCGTAGCGAACAATGTAGACATGAGTGTAATAAATGATCTTTAAATTAAGTCTGTTCACGTTTTGAATAGTAATCCCTTATACTGAAAAAATAATTCCTTAGTTTAACTAATTTATGCATAAACTTAAGAAATCTACGGGATATTACTGCACGAAAGAGACTGAGACCATATCGCATAGCATTTGTCACTTATGATATATAAATAAAAAAATTATGGATAATTCATTCAACAAAAAAAAAAAAAAAAAAACCTGCGAATCATTTTAGTAAACTCTTTGTTGTTTCTTTGTCTGTTTCTGTCACGAGACACCAGAGATGATCATCATCATAAATTATATTAATTGAATGAATGAATTGACTTTGACTAAAGTACCTACATTGGCGTATACTAAATGACTCATCCGTTTAAAATCATAACAAATGATGGCAAAACCATATTTCTTGGTATACATATATATAAAAAACAATGATTTCAAGAATGATTAACGAAGCCCTACAAACATTAAAGAAATTTATAAATGAAAAAAACCAAACTCTACTTACATATATAAAAATATGTATGTGTATGGATCGTAAAAAGGCCAACAACTGTAATAAAAAACCAACTGCAATGAGTGGGTGTTACAGATAGTTGCAGCAGCTGCAGAAAAAATAAGTTCAAAAAAAATTACTAAGAATGACAGACTTATACCTACACCCACGCATACACATATATATGTAAGTACATCTAAGTGCATGCTCGTAAGATTCACTATTTTATTGCATAACACACGTCTACGTCTACGCTTGTTGCATTAACTTACCTCAAAAATTAATGGAACATTGTAAGATTTTTAAGGCTTGAAAGTGATTCGTAAAAGTTACGCGTTACGAGTGACGAGTTACGAGTTAAAATATTCTTTATTTCTAATAAACAAGATTGTTTCCTTAACTGGTAATTCCCATATGGTATCTGAAATTTTTCTTTCATTCCAATGCAAATTTTTTTATCTCTTATACTATACAAGTCTAACCATATAAAGCAAATTGGACAACGGCCTTAATAGTTTATAATTACGGGGCGACATTGTCTCGTCTCTCTGTTTTGAATTTGAAAGAGCGCCAATGAAATCGTATTCTCGGGGGTTCCCAAACTTTATTCGAATCGATCTCTCTTTCTACAAAATGCACTTTGAATTTTCGAAACTTTATTGCTTTGATGTGGAAAAAATTCAATTGATTTTAATAATTAATTTCATTAGTTTCTTTTTTTTTTAATATTTTGCCAAAAAAGGAACGGCCGTGTAGAATGTAAAAGTTTTCTGTGCGAAACGAGATTCTTGGGTAAACTATTATTATTATTGTTATTCCTGATCATAATTTCCCAACTTGCTAAGTAAACTATGATCATAAGCTTCTCTGTCTTAAGCTCGTGAAATTTTCAAAAATAAAAACGGTCTATGGAGTATAACTTAGGGTAATAATATAAAAAAACAGGCGTAGTTCTTCTTTTTACTAGATAAAGATGTTCGAAAAATAATAGGTTCAAAAAAGTAGAGGTAAAAAAATGAACATTACATAAGTACGGTTAGAAGCGAAGACTGGGATTCGTAGTCTACCTGGTAAAAGCAACGCTATAAACATAAAATGTGAGAAAATGATGTACAGATGCAAAGCTAGAGAGCTACGGCCGATGGCAAAAAAGATCGTGTAAATCTATTTAAAATCATTTAACCAAGGCATTAAGGGAAAAAAGGAGTGGCTTCATTCCGGTATATCTAAAAAAAAAATTCCTGGAAAGGGTATCCCTTAAGAGCGAAAATACATTTTCAAAGTTTCGCGTTCCATTTTTCGAAATGTATAAAGCTTCGCTGCCAAGAAAGCAACCCTGTATCTGTGACTGAAGACTTCTAAAAAATAGGCAATTGTTTACTTAAGCAATTGCAGAAAGTAGCATTCTTAGAGGCGACCGTGAGAAGAGTAACTACACAAAAAAAAAAATGCTCTACCTTAACCGCTTACTTATGCCACATATAGCAACAAAAACTGAAGATCTCTATGCAAAACAAAAAAGATTTGTCCAAAAACTATAAGCCTTAAATGCTAACGTGAGTACATTAATCATACGGAAGGGAATTCCTTTTCCATTCCTTTCCTTCAGAGTATATATTAGTAGCTTCAGTCACCATCAAAGTTTTGCTTTTTAAAGGGAGCTTTTGAATTCCTGTTCAATAAATGGAACTGCAGAGACGAGCAGCTACATAAAAAACTTCTTTTTTTTTTTACGAGCGTCAATTCTTTATTCCTAAAGTAAAAAAGTAAAAATAAGCACAAATCGTAGAAATGAAAAAATTCTTAAATCAGCTCAGCGAAAGTACAGTTGTTATCTTTCTTACCAATTATGAAATCTCTCTTCGATAACGAGTATACAGTAAATGCACAATGTTTCATCTTCGTTTGTGGTGAGCTTCATTACGTCATCCTTCATGCTAATTACGTATACAGTGTGTACAAAAAATAAAGTCACTGCAAAATTTAGTTAAAATTGATCCTAATAGGATGGGAATAAGTACAGATGTCTTTAAGAAACTCTGAAAATGTTGTCATTTATATGTAAATTTATATGTAAGCATATAAATGTATGTCTGCGCATAATAATAGACAATAAAAGTGGAAAGAAGCTCTAAACAAAACAAAAAATTGTAAACTATAAGAAACATTCATTGGAATGTTAGACGACCTAGCCAGGCAGCCAGGCAGCCAGCCAGCGAGCCAGCGAGCCAACCAACCGATCGTGTAAAATCCAGCTGCTGTTGCATACATAGTTGCATTAGTTATTGTTGTTATTTTATCTATATCTTGTTATTATTTTTCGCGCTCTTTGTTTTTAAATGTATTCCTACGCTATATGTCATTTCCTCTCTTTCTATATTCGCCTAGTCATATACCTATATATATACATATATATGTGTATATATTTAATCATACACGTCAGTAAATTGACATATATATATATATATATATATGAAAGAAAAAAAGGAGAAAAAGTAAAATATACGCTAAACAACAGCAACTAAATAATTATAAACCACATTTCGTTTCGCTTATGTCCGTCTCGTTCATCTATGTACTTTGCACTCGAGATGCACTTCGTTGTGTATGTATATACATGTTTATAGTTTGCACATTTGCACTCTTAACGTAGATTTATTCTACTTTTAAACGCCCCTATGTATATATATATATATATATATATATGAGAATATATTATTATTATTAAATATCGTTAGAAAGTTTTTCAATTTCAACTTTAGAAGAAAATCAATCGAAGAGAAACTGTTATCTATGATTGATTAGATAATAATTATTAAACATGAGAGTTCAATGGAAAAATATTACGTCTTTTGTACCTATTTTATGAATGCGTGACCATCGCATAGTAGGCTAACATGACACTTAACATTTCCCGTTAAGTGTATTTATTCTAATTTGTTGTTATTAAATTTTTAAGAACTTGTGTGTTTTGTGCATACACATATTACTTAATAATAAACAATTCAGAGATAATGGAAAATCAATCACTTGAATGATTTTTTAGGTCATTATTTCAGGTGCAATTGTGTAGCATAAAATGTTTCATCATTTTCAAAAACTATGCACATAACAATGGTCACCAAACGATTATTCGTAAATCGCATTGCATCTAAAAAATATTAAGCTTATTAATAGATTTAACTTTTTTCACTTCTATGTGAAGCTAGCACAAAAGTCAAATATAGAAGTTGGAACCGGATGAAATTGTATAAGGGCATTTGCTTACTTGCTATTAATGCGAGTAAGTTGGTAGTGTGCTTTTTGTTTTTTTAATTTGTTTGCACCCATAGAACCGTAGGTCTAATGTGCGAGTTAAATAAGTTCTAAAAGAATGTTTAAAGAGAGAATTGAAAGACTATACTACTATTCATATTGCTTTACGAACTTTATGAACATTAGTAACCGTCAACTACCAGTGTCAGGAACAATGTGTAATGTGTGCGGAAAGTCTGAATCTAATATCTTGTAGCACACTTAACTAAAGATAAACAATGATTTTTATCTTGCAATTATACTTAGCGCAACATTAGTCTCTTCGAATCCAAAAATTTCATAATTTGATGTATCTGTGGCCATGCAAGCTTGCTTGAAGGCCTCGATCATTCTGATGACGTTTTATGTGACTATAGTATTTCTTCAACTAGCATCACTAGTGCATCACCACATTACTTTAGCTTTGGCTATTTTTGGGACTCTCGACTTTAAATTATTTAAAGTTCAAGGTGTCAAAAGTTTGCATATGTATACGACTTTGAATTAAATGCAGGAGCTTTCCCTGCTAGAGTAAATAAGGCGACCAAGACTTTTGTGCAGAAGAGGTCTACTCGACCATTAAATATAGATTGGGCAAAGGTACTGTTTTTGAGGACATTTTTCATTTATGTGCAGTCGATGTGTTCTTATTTTAAATGTGAACGCTTCGTTAGCAAGAAAAAAATTTCATAGACTTTCGCTCATAATTACGTTATTCCTTTTTTAGAATTTTGTATGCCTTTTTTTGGATCACTGGGAATTTAGTTAAGTGAAATGTAAAAATCATTAGTAAAACTTGAAATCGTCAAAATGCAGCAAATCTGCAAAGTGATCGCTAAAAGATGAAAAAAATTGATATTGAAAAAGCCCAATGCTGACGCATGCTATTTTTCTTTCAAACAAAGGTTTCTTGTAGTTAAGAAAGAAACAAAGGAGTGAAAGATCCGAAATAGGAATGCAAGCTATGAAGCAGCTATGCCAAGGTTAAGAGCTCCAAGGAATGCATCCTAAATAAAGGCAAAGGTTTTTCTTAATAGTTGACTTTATTTTTTTACTTTTCAATATTCAAAAATTGAAAATTTTAAATACCATCGAAATTGAGCATTGCATTTCGCATACAATTGGCGAGAAACTAGTTCTTCTTCAATATCTTTTTGCTCTTCACGGTTTTCTTAGTTTGTTTTACTCATGGGATGGGCTTTTGTTTGGTCAATATACTGAATACTGACTATCTGATGGCCCAATATTTTTTAGACTATCGATTGCGCATAAGTGCACAAGTGTGCATGCAATATATCCACCGGTGTCAAAACAAATGTTAAAAAACGCTTTTTGTTAAAGAAAACGGCATCTAAAAATAGAAAACCAGTTTTTTGTCTTTTTTTTTCCTCTTTTTTTGAACACAAATATCATACGCATACACAGGCACATATGTTCATAGATATTAGAATTACTTGTATTTGTAAAGTGTGTAAATGCATGTGAAACGCACGCATTGGAGTAAGTAAACATACAGTTATGTTGTTTGTTTTCATTATTAACCGGTATTCATTTCAGTTAATAAAATGAACATTACCTGTACCCGTGCATTGTTCTTAGAGATTACTATTTGATCGTCCAGATGTTATGCAGTTGCTTTTAATCAAAATTTTTGTTTTTACATACGATGTTATTATCGCAATTTCGCTAAGTCGATTTAATCTCATGCCATCTGGACATCTGTTTAATATAGGAAAGTTCCCTCTCAGTTTGATATAGAAAAGTGATACTTGACCCCGAAGCGATAGAATTCCGCATAACTCATTTAGGAAATCTAGCCACGCTTGTTAAGGCCTATGCAGTGCTTTGAGAGCAGAGGAAGCTTCCGAGATCCCAGAAAGCATATATGTTGATGTGTATGATGAGCATCAATTTTAAATCGATTTAAGCACGTCCGCCCATCTGCTTCCCTGTGTAAAGTGGATGGTAAACATGCTTGCGTTCGCAAAAACTAAGATATCGCCTACAAAGTGGTCAAACAACTCTAGACCGGCCTAGACCGCTCACAGGCTAATGCTACTTTCCAGTTCTTTTCCCTTAATTTAACCTCACTCAAGATAATAATGGTAGGTATAAAAGTTTCGATCTCGACGTAGATCATATTCCCCCTTGTTCAGAATTCGCCTGAACAGCTTACTGGGTAAGAATTAAGAGTGTCAAATTAGTGTACGCGGGTTCGATTCTCAGATTCGGTAGAGTTTATGTTGGTCGTAGCTAGTAACCTCGTAAGGTCGTAGGGGATGTTCAGTCGGTAAAGGCATAACACTTACCGATTGGGCAAACATCCACTAGACTGCGGCTACCGCCTCCTTATTTCCTTCTCTTTCCTCTCTTCATTCCGACCATCTCTGCGCTAAAGGTGCTGAGTTGTTGCGTTATATTAGGAAAGAAAACACAAAAAAAAAAGACAGTCTCCGTTAGTTTTTGCACTAAGTTTCACATCACTGGCTGATATTACTCTTAAATTGTAGCTGTGTATTTTTCAATTCAAATATTCGCCAAATTTTAGTTTCCGAACTTAATTGCTGCGATCGTTATTTTGTCGTTTATTTAATTTTTTCTTTATTTTAAATTTGAATTAAATTCTTTTTTTATTTAATTATTTATAATTAATTATATTGCGTGTGTTACAGAATTGTTTACTCACTTTTCACTTTCAAGTCTCGCGTAAGCCAATACTATCTCTTTCTTCCTTTCCCCTGAACTTATAAACCTTCCCGACCACCATCGTGACCGCATATGTGGCCGTCGTCTCCTGAGCGGATAAGGGGGCAATTAATGCCGATTTACTCAATTTCTTGTAATAATTTTTGAAAGAGATTCTACGAATTTTTGTATTCTATCGTTGAAACGTGTGCAATTTCGCTCCGCAACTCAGTCTTTTTCTCGAGTTGTCTTTCTTGCACAAGAATAGTCTTCACTCCCTTAACCTTAAGTTGACTATGTCGAGTCCTTTAGCGACGTACTTGTTTACTTGTCAAGGCCAATGTATGAATAATATAAGATTAGTTTATAGTGAATTGATTTGACAAAACGGGAAAAATATTTTCGAAAATGCATACTCATAACGATAACAGTTTATGAAGAAGGTCGACAAGGGCGGATGTTCGGATCATCGCGTATACATTTGCCATACACAAAAGAATTATTTTAATAGTTTAAAGTCAATCTTTCACTTTGTGGTCCTTACTCCCCTTACGTTGTCTTACTCCCCATATTATGCGCAATAAGTAAACTTTTTCGACATTTTTCAATCAATCTCTGTCTTTCAGTTCAACCATGAAATGCTTATATGATAAATTTAATTTTCAAAGTGACCATTTCGATAAAGTTGGATGAGTCCGATGTCCAGTATGTATTAAAATATTGATAAAATGAAGGTATGTTCACCTCGCTGCTTGCTTCGTACACCAAGAGTTGAAACCAATATTAAAACACATGCCCAGCATATTATTTATTTTTTTATATTCCAGTCCGTTTATCGATCTAATGGAAATTTATAAATTCCTATAAAGTCTTATCAGTCGAAGAAAAATATTCGCAAACATAAT